AAACTTTCGACGAAATGGGTGTCGACGAAATGATTGTCGACGAAATAATTTTCGACGAAGTAAACGCGACCGAAAAATAATTTATATCTCATAGAATTGGAGCATGCGCCTACCAAGTATTGAAATTTAGATGCCGCAAATTGAAATCAGGGTGTTTTTTTTTGATAAACACATTTGGGGTGTCCAGTACTTTCTGTAACAGTAGTATTAAAACTAATGATTGTATTTATTATAATCATCATTTTCAAGAATAACTTTGGTACATAATAATTAATTAAATAAAGTTCATTATTAATCTATTATTATTATTATTATCATTATTATTATTATTCTATTTAAAAAGAAATTATAAAAATGAAAGTTATGCTGTAAAAAATGTGTGCGTGCAAATGTAAATTGAATGTGTGTGAATGTTATTATGTATGAATGTAAATATATAACAAATAATATATACTTTTATAAATAAATTTACAAAAAAAAATAATAATATAAAGAAAGATAAAAAAAAATAAAAATAAAGTAAAATTAATTTAAAATATTTACAAAATACTACAGAAAATGTGACTGCACAAATTTAGCGAGTCAGCAACCTTAGCTCCATATGCAATTTTCTGGTCCACCGCCATTACCACCACCAGCCAATCTTTAATGTGTAATCTTATTATGGTTCACTAATATGAAATATTTCACATTCTAAAATTTCATTTTTTGACCAACAACCTAAATCATCATCAAAAAAATATATTGCAGATAATTCGCAACTTTTCTCGGCCAAGTTTACTCTTAAATATCCAAATGTCGGCCCGATATTATCAAATTTAACTGTCATCCAATCAGTATTAGTGTTATTATTGTTGTTGTTGTTGTTGTTGTTACTGTCACCATTACTATTATTATTATAATTAATTTTAGAAATTTTGAATCCATTTTTCGAATCATCATCATCGTCAACATCTCTATTACCATTTGCACCAAATGAAAGTATAAATATTTGTGATGATAATTGGGATGATAAATTTTTCTTATTATTATTGTGGTTATTGCAATCAAGACCAATTGGATTATAACCAACTATTAATAAGATATTACTATCATCACCAAGACTATTACTGCCAATAGTATTATTATTTTTTATTGTAGATGTTGGTTTACGAATTTTAGTGATAACCAATGTTGGACCATTATTAAATAAACTTTTGTTTCTATTATATGAATCTAATCCGTCCCTTGTCATTCTAAACAATAAATTAAATTTATGCATCTTTTGGTTGTTATTGTCATTTTTGATCTTGTTATTTGGATCATTGATGCTGTCGTTATGATTTCCAAGGAATGATAATCTTTTGAAAAAGGTTGCAGATTTTTTGAATTTTCTATAATGGTTCTTTAACGATTTTTTATTATTTTTTTTGTTGTTATTACCACCTTCTTCAATGCATTCTATTAATAATTTCATGTGAAAATGATTAATCAAATTTGAATCATTCAGAATTATATTACCTAATCTACTGTTATTACTACCGACACCATTAATATCAAGATTATTGTTGATGCTTAAATAATGATTGAAAAGTTCATTATTTTTTAATAATAAATTTAATTTTAAACTCTTTTCATGATATTCCGAATTGTTGGTACTAACATTGCTGCAAATTCTAGCACCATTAACATTATAATTACTATATCTAAAATTGTTGTCAACGAATTCATAATCAAAATCGTATTCTTCATCTATCATGAGCTGAAATTCGTTCCAATATTTTAAATATGGTAAAATGTTTTCAAAGTAAAAATTCCTTGATATATTTGAAAATTTTACAAATAGTAACAAGTTATAAATCGTCCTATAGAATTTAATATATTCTTCCTTCTCCCACAACAATGATCCGTCATCGCTACTAATTTTTATTGCCGTTGATATCATTTTTTGTTTACTCCATTCACAACTAAACTCCCAAATTTCTTCGCTTCCAATTTCTGATTCCTTTCTAACAAACTCCTCCAACAACCTAATAACCATATCCTCCGTCAACAAATACAATTCATTTGCCGATGACAACAACAACATTTTCAAATTTTCTTTATCAACTATTAATATTTTTAAAATGTAGTTGAACAATTTCTTGAACGATGGATTATAAAATGTTGTCAATAATATTTTGATAATGTATGGCCTCAATTTGTCAAGATCCAAATAGATAAAATGTGATTGTATTTCGTTAATGAAATCTGTCAAGACCAATTCATCTGACGCGATCAATATTTCCAAAATTGTTGGAATATCTAATGCTTCTAATTTCATACTATCAAAATATAAATATCTACAAACATATTTGTAACGAAATAGGGATTAATTCCTTATCACTTGTAACAACATCTTCATTATACAAAATAAGATGATATGATATTGATATTTAATTACCTTAATATCGAAGTAAAAACCTTTGGTGAAATATTAGGCTTATCAAATATATGATAACAATTATTTGAATCTCTTTTTGACCAATTATTTGATAATGCTGTACGAAAATACGAGCTACGTTTACTCAATATCACTGAATGCGATTTGAATTTTTTGATATTGTTTCCAGATCCAACTTTTATTATCACGTCAAAATTTGATAATAATGATGACGACGATGACAACGATGATGATAAAGATGATAAAGACGTTGAAGATTGTGATGATAAATCATTATGATTGTTGTTATAACTTACAGTTAAATAATTATTAGTATTGTTATTGAAAGGTTCTTCATCAAAATTTATTAAATTTTCAAAAGTTATCTCGTCTTCTTCTTTCACATTATCATTATTAATATTATTAAACTTAAAATCATAATTATTTCCTCTTTTGTTACCTCCTTCCCCTCTATTACCAAGATTATTTTTATAATAAGAAGATTTTAATTTGGTGGGAGGATAAGAAGGTCGATAAGACAAGTAATAGTTACTTGGTGGTGATTGTTCAGAAGAAGGTCTCTTATTAAATTCTTGCGAAACTGATTTACTGATAATTTTGAAATGCCTTTTATGTTTTTTAACGTTGTCTTCATTATCGTCATTACTAATATCAATGTTGTTATCATTTGGTAAGATGATTTCTTCTTCTTTTGGTAATAATATTATTGTTTCATTTAATAATGTATTTGGTGGGAGTTGCAATAATTGGTGACGATGATGATCCTCCATCATTATCTGCATCATATCCGATTCTTCTCTATCATAATCATCATCTTCCAATTTTCCTTCCTCTTGATAGCGAAGGTGGTGATGAAGATGGTGATGATCCTCTTGTATTATTAAATTTTCATCTATTGTAAAATTTATTTTTATATCCAATGTCTCTCTACTATCAAAACTATCATTGATACTATCGTTAATATCTACATCGTCAATCATTTTATCATTTATCATCATTATTATATTATTGCTGTTATTATTTTTTTCATAATTATAATATATTTCCTGCTCGCTTTTATCATCATCACCATCACCATCATCATTATTAGTATCTAAAGGAGAGAATCTATTATTGTAATCGATGTAGTCACCAATATAATTAGTGTTGCTATTTGTTATAGCTTCTAAACTTTCCGCTAACATTCCAGTTATATCGAGCATTTTGACAAAAAAAAAATTTTTTTTTTTTTGGAATTTGAAATGTTTCAAAATTAACTTTTTTTTTTTTTATATATATATATTTATATAATTTATATATTATATATATATATATTGACAATTAATGTGAGAATGTTTTTTTTAATATATATATAATTTATATAAATATATATTATTACTATAAATAAAATAATGAATGATCTTTGATCTTATGATTTACGATTATGAGAAAACACAATGATTTTTTAATTTTAATTTTTATCATCAAAAAAGAAAATTCTTTATTGTAAATAATTGCTTGGCCATATTTGTATATTGCATATATACAAGCTTGCATGACTTTAAATTAAAAATACTAGTAGGTAATATAATAAATCCATTTTAATGATCATTTTATATGAATTTATAAAAATAGACTTTTGAATTTCCAAATATTGTTATTGATGTTAAAATTGATTGATTGATAAAATACCCGCAATCGCCAAATTGATTTCTAAATATGGCTAACTCGCCGCAACCCATCAATAAAAGTTCAGTTGCAGGCGGATATTTTGTGTGGTTTTTTTTTATCTTTAATCTCACAATTAATTAATCAATTTTCAATTTATTCCTTCTCTTCTCGTCTCAACAAAATACCAATGATAGTTCATCGATAATAAATTTTCTATTCTTAAACTTTAATTTTCAAAAAATTCAAATAAACCTAAATTAAGTAAATTTTCCTATTTATATTTCATAAAGTATCACATGTAAATAATACACACCACATAAATAAATACATATGCAAGTTGATGTAATCTTCAAAACACCATAAAGCCAAAAACATGAATAAAATACACTTTTTTACATTTTATTTTTCATCCAAGACTTAAGGAGAGATGGATCAAAAGATTAAGGGATTAATATTGATCAATTAGTTAATAAATCAACAAATATTTTGTAAATAATAATAATAATTACAATTATTCATTAGTAATTAATTTGTTTATTATTTAATATACATTGATTTTTACCAATAATAAATAAAATATACAATCCATGAATCTCCCTTACATCCATTCATCCCTCCCTAATAACATTTCTCTGTCAACATTCTTCCCACATTCTCTCACTGCTGCTGTTAATCAATTAATCAGTGTTTAGCAATATCCTGTTTTTCTCTCCAGTATTTACCTTTTTTATAGATAGCAATCAACAAACTAATTGTGATTACATTTATCGAAACGATGATTGTAAATGTAAATCCGCTCCCAATAGCTGTCTCAATCGGTTGAGCGATTGCTGACATTCCACCAGCTAAAACTGATCTCAAGAAATTATTCAATGCTATAACTGATGCACTTCTTGATGGATACGAGTCTACTAAATATGTTGTCAATGAATTAAATGCTATCATTGTACCAAATCCACCTATCATATGTAGAATGTGTGTGGTATTATTATAAGGAGCATATATATATATATATAAATATAAATCTTATGCACACTCACACATTTGACTTACCAGAAAACATAAAAATCAACGGGAAAACAATATGAACTTTAGCTTCCAATAACCATCCGTAGATTAAATAAGATAAAGGTATCAAAATAACTCCAACCCATGAGCTAAAAATTCTCATTTCCGGATACGCAACCCCATTGTTCTTTTGAATGGCTTTTTTCAACACATAATCTGACCATTTGCCACCAATAACGCTACCAAACATTAACCCTGCCCCCGGTGCCAAAAAAACCAATCCAACCAATGTTGACGTCAATTTATAATTTGCTGTAAATTTTGTTGGAATCAGTATGTTTTGCACATAGACTATTGAGGTGACAAATATTTTATATCCCAAGATAAATACCACATTCACATAACACATCATTCCTAGTGGTGCGAGTGGGTTAAATATTTTTCTTGACGATGCTGCCCTTATGATCTCGGACCTTTTGAAACGAAAAGTTTCTGGCAACAAATAATATATCAGTACTAACATTATAGTGCCAAATATTGTTAAAAACCAAAATATATATCTCCATCCGAAATAATCTGTTATAAATCCTCCTATCACGGGCCCGCCCAATGTTCCAATAAAAAATCCAAGATAAAAAAATCCTGCTGCTCTCCCTTTTTCTATTTATTATTATTATTATTATTAAAGATGAAATTTTTTATTATTATGTAATGGTTACAATTATCATTATTATAACTGCAGTTTAAGTATCTATTTTGTTACCAGTAGGAATATAAAGATCACTAAGGGTTCCAACTCCAACACATATAACTGCCGAAGATCCACATGCTTGTATTATGCGCAAGATTAAAATTTCCTCGAACGTTGTTGCGTAGACACAATATGCACTTGATATGACAAACATTGACAATGATACTACATATACTCTTTGTCTTGTCCCGTACGCATCTGAATACGATGCCCAAAATAATGGTGCTATTCCCATAAATAGTATAAACATTGAAACTATAAAACATAATGAATATTAATAAATGTGTGAATGCGTGTATTTTTTAATAATAAAATAAATAATCTCTTTGTTCTTACTTATCCAATTAACACGTAATTGAGTAGTTTTTAATTCATCACGAACTTTTATTATGGCTGGGAAAAATATTCTAAATTAAAAACTTGAATCAATTTTTTTTCTTTTCTTTTAAATATAAAAAGGTTATTAAACCTACGTGTTTGCAATAGGAGCAATCATTCCAGAAATTGAAACTAGAAACATTATACTGGCTTTCTTTTTATTTGGCCATAATTTTGGATCATCTTCTATCTCGTTTTCTTCTTCAAAAATTTCTAAATCATTGTCAACAACAACGTTTCGGGTGTTTTCTTCTGGTTCTTCTTTATTGTAATTCTTTGATATTGATATTTTCTCTGTTGTTGCATCACTTTTTCCTTCCACAAGGTTCTCTTCATCTGATCCATCATCATTATTATGTCTTTTAAATAAATATTTTTTATAATTTTTTTCCATCACAACAACATATTATTAAATTACAAAGAAGAAAATAATTCAATTAGTAATGCTTTGAAAATTTTTTTGTTTCAAAAACAACTTCCATCAAAGCCACATCCTACTATAAATAAACGAGAACACAGCCACTAAACACTACTTTCTATTACCTTTTCTATGCTCAAAAATTATCCTTCTACTTTTTCATATCAATCATAATATTGTATGTGTTATCAAAGAATTATATTTTTCAAAACAATATATTAGATATGCAGCAAGAAGAAGTAATGCAATCTTTTGTTCAATAAGAATTTTGAATTTTCTAACAATTCATACAATTCACCTTTATAATTTTTTTTCTTTAAATAAAAAGATGAAAACATCAAAGCAGTTTTGTTGTATAATAAATTCATCAATCGGAAAACATATTGAGAAAAATATATTAATAATCAATCATGTTTTCAGTCCCAGTCCCAGTCCTGGTCCTGACCAATAAAAATCAAAAATGTTTATCATGTGAGTAGCAAATAATTTTATTTTTTCAAAACAATTATTATTGTAAATAAAATCTTTATCAGTAAAAATCAAACATTAATTTTATTTTCTAGACAAAGGGTGGACTGTAACCTGTTTCTTGTTTTGGTGGTAGTATTTCCTGCTACCGAAAATGTTTGTTCACATGGAACACTTGTGGTCTGGATTGTTGAATAACCCTTTGCCATTTGTGTTAAAATTGTAAATTCATGTTCATGAGCTTTCCACCAGGCTAATGGAGAAATATTTTCATTAATTGGAAAATATAAATATCGTTCAACTTCACCATTATCAATATTATTATTATCGATATTATTAATATTTGGCGATAAGCATTGTTGCTGATATTGATTTTCACCATCCATTAAATGGCATCTATTTAATAATTTCTAAAAAATTGTTGTCAGAAGATAGATTTTGTTGCTAGTTTAAAGAACAACCAGGCATGAAATCTTTTTTAAATTGATCATGAAAAAAATTAACTGCATCTAAATTTTATTTCAAAAGTTGAGATGTGCATGTTACCCAATTTCATTATATATAACAAATGTCCAACTTCATGTCAAAATTTTCTTAAAGCGTTATTTGTTTACCCGGGCAAAAAATACATCAAAATAATAATAAAGGTTTTTTCATATTCAAGTAACAATTGATTAAATCAGGCAAGTTTGTGCATGAAAGCTTCATTTTTTAAAAAAATTTTATTAGTGGGTTACATTTGACCCCCTGTAGTTCGCGACTAATAGTAGTAATAGTAATAGTAAAGTACATGTTTTAAACTCTACAACAAATAGTTTTTTTGAGAGTATCTCTCTATGGTTGGCTCGGTCTAAAGACCTCCTATTTCTGCGCCACGTGGCCAAATTTCAAAAATAGCAATTTTGTAATT